TTAATCATGGATTCTTTATTAATTAACTACGCTATTTCTTTTATATCAAAGATTAGACCAAGGGTTCCGAATGAGGTTTACAAAGCTTTTCTCTAGTGTTTTGCCAATCTTCGGAAAGGAATTTGGGAGTTAGATGACCTCGATCATGAGATAACATTACTTTTTGAAGATCATTATGATTTAATTGAGGAGTTTCAAAATTTACGTAAATTTCTTGAAACCCTTTCATGAATTTGGCGATGGAAATATCGAAAGATTTGATTTTAAGAAGGGGTTTGAGAATTCCTTATAGTTAATTAGTTATAATTGGGAATATAAAAATATTTTTAAGTTAAATAGTTAAAACTGCTTCTTTATAATTTCGAGTAGATTTATTATCATCTTATGTGATATATAATCTAAAACTAACTAATAATGAATAAGGATATATTTATTTATAGGGTTCAAAAAATTTAAAAGCATTTTACTTAACTGATGTGGGATTTTCCCATATCTTAATTGTCTAGAATTTTCGTTCGTCACAATTTATAGGATATTTTGTTAAATAATTTCGACCGTTATTAATACTTTCACTTTGCATGCATTTTTAGGTAATATACTTTTTAGGTTAAATTTCATTTTAGTTTCTTAATTTTGGTACAAACTCTTGATTCTATTCCTAAAGTAAATAAATCCTTGTTTTGATCCATAAAATAGCAGACTAGCCTATAACACCATGTAGACAGCACATGTCCTCTCTCACACAAGCCATCCAACAATTAAAGAAGCAATTGTTACACTCATGTAATTGTATAGTTGAGAGATTTATTACAATCTTGAGTTGAGGGGTTCACATGCAAAGATTTAACTAGTTTAAGGGCTCAATCAATATCTTTACCCTTTAAGAGGAGAAGTTGGCTCAGGGGCACCAAGGGATGGCATGGCCTAGGGATGTCAAGGCGCTCCGTGGGCATTTTTTATGGGTGGCAAATTTTTTCCTCTATTCTGTTCTTTACCAATTAATATCAAACTATAAATCTTTTAGTTTTTTATATATAATTAATTAATAATATTTAATTACAATTAATAAAATTTTAAAATCAATTAGTTAAGACAGCTCCTAAAATGTTGAAGCAAAACAAGTAATGAGTGATATATTTAGCAAAATACTTCATACAACTTATCAAGTAGCAGTAAATTATAAAGCAGAGGGCATAAACTCCTGAAAGCATATTCCATGTTTCAAAGATAAACCATCATTGCAGAATATGAAAACAAGAGCTTATAAATTCAACAAACTGAAAATAAGCTAATGGCAAACAAAATTAGAAATAGTATGCACAGCTCTTCTGGGCACATAAATAATATTACCTGGATTGGTTCAATCAAGAAAACCAACGATGTTACAAAAGAAACCAAGCTACAGCCATCAATAGAACCACGTGAAAACACTAGGGATCCAATACAAATTACAAACAATGACCCAAAATAGATCATCTGTACAATCTGTGGGATGAGTGCCTTCATTTTCTTCTTTCCCAAATGTGCAGATAGATCTGCATATGCAAGCCGTTGAAATCTTGCATATTCAGATGACTCAGCATTGCTTGCTTTCACAAAGAGAATGGCTGGGAAGACCTGTCACACTAGCAATGCATTATATAAATGCAACAACCTAATAACTGAAACAGTATAATAGCTGGGGACTAAATTCAACAATTGGTACAAGCATGGAATGGAACTCTATTGTTGGCCTAAAACAGAGTCAGAAGACCTAAGAAAACATAAAAAACACACCTCATTAAGGTAAGCTGCAAGGCTTGCAATGCTTAGACGTGCCTTCTTTGATATCTTTCGAAGCCTTTCACCAAAAAAGGCTATGACTAGAGTCATACATAGAATCACCTAGCATTCCATCATACAGAACATACACTTCCCAGATCAGGAATACTTCAAAATAATCAAGGACAGCTAGAATAAATAATCAAATGAAGAATTTGAATCTATTCACTTACTATTGCAGAAATAAACGAAAGGGTAGGACTGATAACCAACATCTGCCTCGCCATTGCTGATAATTGCAGTGTACTAGGCACTATAGTCTGTCCTAAAGAAAATAACAATTTAACATTTGGATGATCAAAGAAAAGAAAACGTATAATAACACTTCCTAGCAAGCATTCCAAATTACATACGTTTAAAAGTGAATAAACTGTATCAGCAACATCCGAGGCCTCGGCAGAAATCCTATACGCGATATCCCCAGAGGATACCCCGCTGTCCCCTTCAAAAAAAGCCAACTCCCTCTCCAAAACCTTTTCAAAAACGAAAACCCTCATTTGATATACCGCACTTAGCGCAGCATCCCACAAGAAAGCTTGCTGCCAGTAACCCGCAACCAGCCTCGCCAGCACCAAAACACCCAGCAACAATCCCTGATCCCGCAAATTACCAATGCAAACATTATTGTTTAAGTTGGAAGACAAGGACCCAATTCTGGGAACGATGTGGGAGAGCGAGAGGACAGAAATGGAGCTACAGAACCAGCCAAGAAGGATGGATCGGTGCTGGGTTTGGAGAAAGGGCTTAACTTTGAGAAGGGATTGCGCGGTTTGGGCAAGTGGGTTCTCATTTTGGCTTCTGGGTGTCCAGTTTTGGAGGTTAAAGAAGAATTTCGTGGAATTTAACGGCTTGAATTGGGATGGAAAAGAAAGTTTCGAACAGTGGGAGAATTGAAGGGTTGTGGGATTGCGTTTGGGGTTGAAGCGGAGGGAGGAAGATGGTAATGGAGAGGGGAGGGTCAGGTGGAGGAGAGGCATCTTGCACGGAGGATGGAAATGGAAGGTAATGGCATTTTCAAGAAGAAACCAGAGCAAGTCGTTTCCAAATACAGGGGACGGGGGGAAGGAGAAACCGAAGAGTGTTATTTGGAGCGAAACGTGGTTAAATGGTCGGGCTTCAGATTGTGTCCCAACTTCCAACGGTCCATTACGTTATTCTGAATATGGGCCATCAGGCCCATGAATCTTTTTTTCTAAGGTGATTTCTTTCTCTTTTCATCTTTTCAGCTAGTATATCTTATAAATTTGGTGTACTGTTTTCCAATTTAAATTATTTTAAATTAAAAAATAGAAATTATTTAATGGATGAGGGTCTAATATTAAGGGGGTTTTCTTTTATCAAATAATTAATATTTTATATTTTAATATAATTTTAATTTTAAAATACTTTCTTGTTATAACTTCATAGGGGTAATATCCTTTTAAGTTGGATAAGTTAATTAACCGTTAGACTCCTACAATACAAGTAATTAACTTCCTCATGTACCAAAATTATATTTTCACTGAGTTTTCTCTCCTTTAAAAAAAAAATACTTTAATAAGTTTCATTTGATGAGAAAATTTTATAAAATTTTTGTTTTTCAAGTAAATATGAAAAATATGTAGTTTTTATACTATTTTATTAAAAATATTATGTAAATTTATATATTAAATTACGGTACAATCCTACCTAAAAAACTTTTTTGAAAATTTATTGTACTAAACTTTTTTTCTTATATTTATTTTTTCATATTTGGAATAAATAATTCAAAATTGGAACTACCATGGTAATTACTATATTCCACGTGGTAAAACAAAAGATGATTATTTCTTTTTCTTAAATCTCTCCTTTTTTTTGCCTTTCAACTTTTGAACTTCACTGTTGTAATTTGAAAATGAATTTTTTAATACAATACTAAAGAGATAGACTAAGTTTCTTAGGAGCTTCGAAATTTGTTTCCTTGTGTGTTGGTTGTAGGTTGTAAATAAAGGTCACGTATTCATCTTACCTTTCTTACCTTTATTATATATGAACGTTACGTCTCGATGTAAGAATTGGATTCAGGAGTGGGTCATGTACACACCTACTTTCGTTGGGATAGTGGCAATATCCTGCCCCTAGAAGACACACACATATATTCCTATATATATATATATTGAGTGTTTATATGTGAATAAAAAAAATTATATCAAAAGTTGAAAGTAAAAGAAATTAATTTATATATTATAAGAGTTATGAACTTAATAGGATAATTTTTTAGATATATTTAAGGTGATATCTTCACATGTTGAGCCCTTACTTAAGTGTTATTACTAATTCAATTATTCAATTTAACAATATAAATTGTATTTTAAACTCTCAACAATACACCCCCACGTGTTCGTTGTTCGAACCCAGTAAGAAACTTACCTCTGTTGTATACATCTCCCTCCCCCTTTAATATCAAAAGGAATGTTATGCTATGCATCATTCAACTCTTAAGCTCAGAATTTCTAAAAGGTTGAAATACTAAATTGGTGTCTCAACTTTTAGGTTTATATAAAATTGTCTCTCAACTTTAAAAAATATCAAAATTATTTCTAAACTTGTAATTTTTAAGACCAAAAAAGGTCTTTCCATTAACAGAAACATCACATAACTCATTGTTTTGCTACAAAATTAATTTTTTTAAAAATACTAATAACATTTAAAATCAAATTGTTATATTTTATTATTGTAACATATTTCTATTTACACATTAAATTAATATATAATTAAAGTTGAAAGATCAAATTAGTATTTGCAATCAAATTTAAGGACTAAGTTGGCACCTATCTTCAAAGTTTCAAGACTAATTTGGTACTATCTTCAAAGTTTGAGAACTATTTTGGTACAAAAAATGAAAGTTTAAGGGTAGTTTTGACACTTTTTAAAGTTAAGAAATAATTTTAATATAAATTTAAAAGTCAAGAGACCAAATTGGTAGTAACCTTTCTCACAAAACCATTCGTAGGAGAAAGAGTGGTCTCCAATCAATAAGCGACAGCCATATATGTTGACTCTCAATTAACATGGGTTCTTGACGACATTCATAGTGAGAGAATAGAAATTACATTAACTTGGAGTAGTTATGATAACTAAATAGGAAGAGAGTCTAAAATCTTAATTTACAGATGGACTCATCAAATCCAGGAACAAATATATCAAAGAAAAGCATTGCTTGTCAAGTGAACCAATTTTCAAGCAGCTTGGGAACATGGATGAATGGATCTGCAAATTAAATCATCTTTATATATGTTTCTGCAACATTATTATTCATTAATTTTTTTCAAAAAATCATTTTCCAATTCAAAATCTTGAACTGTCTGTGTCTACAGACAATCTTTTTCAGAAAATTAACATAGAAAAAAAATTAAGGAAATGTAATATAAAAAAAAAAAAATCATGAGAAGAAGAAGCTATAAGATTTAACAACAGTGTTATCCGACTGTTGGCAACTTAGCATCTTCATTTCTCTTTCAATTTCTTGAAGATGGCAAATGCTGCACCCGCCACTGCCACCAGCACAGCTGACACTATAATCCCCCTTTTCAGGCTTTGCATCGTCTCCTTCCTTTCTCTTTCCCTTTTCACCTCATTTCGTTCCTAATTCATTGTATTGCATGCAAAAATAAATAAATAAATAATTAGAAATGAATTTTCTTTCCTCAACTCAAAATTCTCATTTATGTGCAATGAAATTAATTTGTTTAATCCATCGTCCGGAAAAAATTTTCTATATTATAAAAGTTGAAATTGAATTAAATATAGTTTTAAAAAGAGTATGTCACACTTTTTTTTAAAGTTGATTTTAGCTTCTAAATGCTAGAAACTAAAGATCCAAATATATGAATCCTAAAAATATATTTTTTGCTATTAAATGTCTAAATTTAGTAAATTTAATCCTTCTAAAAAACCTTTTATAATAATTATTAAGAGTTCATATTTTGTAATTTGAATTGTATAAAACTGTAAAACAGTGACCATTGAATTGTAGAAGATCTCCAATGTTAGTGTTGTTCAATCTAATGCAGTTAGGAATAGACATCACTTGTTTTTTTGTTAAATATATTCATGATTAAACTATCAAAAAAAAAAAGTTTTATAGTCCGAACTAATCCAGATTATAAAACATTAATCAGTTGGATCGCTGATATTGTAGGCTGTCCCCCATCAAATGGTACCTGTTTTCCAGACCGTAAAACAGGATTTTGTAAACTTTTTCCTTCCATAAAAGTCACAATTACGTCAAACAAGCTATAATTCTCTCTTCATCTTAGTAGAATTTAAAATTTCTACTTCATTCCTCTAAATTTGACATGCAAAATAATTAAATGAGAAGATTACCTTGGTTTCGATTGCAGTTGAAATCTCAGATGACACGGAATCAACTTTGAGATTGTTCTTGTCGTAGGCGGGATTCAGTTCCCCCTTGACATCTGCCGCCGGAAAGGTTTCATTGGAGTCTGCCATTTTTTCTTGATCGGAGAAATCGCACGTTTTGTGTTGCTGGGAAGACGAGGGAAGAAGAAAGAAAAAGAGCCATTCAGTTAGGTTTTTTTTAAAACGAGGAATGGGGCATGGATCGTGTGACACGTGGCAATCGTCGCCCCAGATGGCGGGAGTTTGTTAATGTTTTATGGTTATTAACGACTTTCTATCATTTGCCCGGGGATTCTGTTTGGAATAACTAACTCTAAATGAAATGACAAAGTTACCCTTGGGTGTCAATATCATGGAAGCCAAGTCCGAACCAGAATGATGTGTTCTGTATAAGAAGTCGTAATTTAGTTGACGAAATAGTTTACTTCTCATCTAAGTGACAAAAGATTTGATTGTTCAAAAAAAGGCATGTTTTTCATATAAATGGACATCTAATCTACTCAAACAAGCAATGGAAATGTTGAATTACATTTTTTCCTCCTTTTTTTGGTTATATCAACTTTTGCAAAATCATTTTCTCTTTAGTACTTGCAGACAAGCATGCATCAAATTTTTGCATTCAAAGAACCCTAAAATGCCTACTTTCACATTGTTACTAAGATGATACTCTCTTAGCAAAATCCAAGGCTTACAATCCATTGTGCTGCTGCCTTTTTTGTACTGCTTGAAAAACTTTGCTTAGTTCCCCAAACCATGGGGGCTTGGCTTTGTAGGTACTGAGTTGGCAAACTGCCTTTTCAACACTGATCTTCTCTTCCTTCTTGCAGTACCAGGAGGAGCCTGATGGAGGCAAGAAAGAGAAAAAAAATCGACTATTTCAGAGTTCAGCTGACGACAGATTAATTGTGGACGTATCATGGCTCAATGATCCTTAAACCAGCATATGGAGCTGGAAAAAGGGCAGAAGAATGTGGTAGAAAACAACATTGTATAAATGTATGCAAAACTAAATGAGCATATGCTTATAAGGCACCTTTTGTTCAGCCTTCATTGCATCCTCAAGATTGCTCAATGCAGGGATAGATCCACCTTCCATTAAACCCATCAAATTCTTCATGCGAACACGCATTTGGAAGAGTTGAGCAACAAGTTGGCTCACCTACAATTGATACCAAGAAATTACATTTCATTGATGCAATCACATAGAATAGACTTAATGCCAATTGGCAACCAAGCATACCTGCTGCTCTGTTTTGCCAGAGTCTTGAGCAACCCGTTTCCTCCTCTCTGGAGACTCTGCCAACAACTCCGGCTTCTCTCTTTCCTCTGTAAATAAATGATAAAACAAGCTCAGCAAGAGAGAGAACAAGAAAAGTTTTCAAAGTTGATGGTATACACCTGTCTTCAACCCTTTTTGTTTCCCAGATGATGCTAACATTACATCAAAGACATGCCCTTCAAATAAGTTTATCCGTCAGCTATTAGTAACATATCATTTCATTCTCCAAGTCAACTTCATGCAACATATCTCCAGTTCTTATAGTTTCTTTGGTGTTTAACAAGGTGTCAATTCCCACATATTTCATTTCTACTTTTTCCGTTCCACCTGTAACTTCAAAGAAAATCATCTATAGTCTATATGCAGGAGCGATAGCAGAGGATCATTAAAGATGCCAGATTGAGTTTCATTATATATTTAATACATAATTATAAAATACACCAAAACTGCAACAGTATCAAAGAGAAGAAATACCAGGTGTCATGGCTTCAATCATTGCTTCCATTTCCTTTAAACTCTTCTCTGCTTCTCGAATTTGAGAAGGAGTAACCTGTTTAGAAAATGTACAAGAGAGCAAATCAGATCAGTATCTTCTCATGGTCTGCAGAGATTCATTTTTCGCTTTACCTATAAAAGAACAAAATTAATTGAGTGTCTGTCTTAAATCATTACAACCAACCATGTTAGAGGTGTTAGGAAACATAAAAACACAAACACACACACACACACACACACAAAAAGCCATGATGCTGTACCTTCCCCATCCCAGGGATCATTCCAATAACACGGGTCATGGAACCCATACGTGCAACAGCACGAGTCTGCTTTAGGAAATCATTGAAGTCAAACTTAGCACTCATAATCTTCTTTTGCAACTCCTCAGCATCTTCTTGACGCATCTAAATAGACAATTCAATGTGAAACATCAAAATGTCATTCCTTCACATAGAATGAGATGGAATCTTCAGAAAACTGTGGGAAAGTACATTGGTATAGAATCAATCCATTCAAGGGTTCGATTGAGATTTATAATTATTTGTTGTGAATTTTGTTACTTGCAGCCTTGAACTGTCAATTACGTTTTTCCCTTTTGATGGGACTGTCATTGCATTGTGGATTGATAATATATTGCACTAATTCAAAAACATAAATTTACTGAAAACTTACTACTTCCTGTGCCTTCTCTACAAATGAGAGAACATCTCCCATTCCTAAGATGCGTCCAGCCATACGATCTGGATAGAAAGGTTCAAGGTCCTCTATGCGCTCACCACGTCCTACAAGCTTGATAGGCCTTCCCGACACCTGCAGAGTTCAATAGAGTAACACATGCAACACTTACTAAATTTACCACTAAATGGTACAACAGAACAAGATTACACCTGCTAGAATTTTCAGATAGCAATAATGTGAAGAAAATCCAGATGTTGATAATACAAACCTCCTTCACACTCAAAGCTGCACCACCTCTAGAATCTCCATCTAGCTTTGTCAAAATGGCACCAGTGATCCCTATCTCAAGATTGAAAGTTGTGACCAAGGCTGCAAATTAAATTATTAAAGAATTGATGATAAGAATATATTGGAAGTTTGCAAAATGCCTTCCACATGGTGAAAGTCATCATTTCACCAAAATCTAGATTAAGCATTTAAACTTTATGAAAATGGCATAAAACTAGACTTGGAAGTTTGAATACATGCAGCTTCTTGGCCAGTCATTGCATCCACAACAAGCAAGACTTCTGCAGGATTCAACACTTGCTTCACTTCTTTTAATTCATCCATCATTGCTTTATCTATCTGTTCAAGACAGGAAAATGAATTGTATGCCAAAAACTTAACAGTTAACAGGATGTTCTATCTTGAATCATCTAATTGTCACTGAAAAGATCACCATACTTGCAACAAGTATTACCTGAAGCCTTCCTGCTGTATCCATTATCACTACCTCTATGTTCTTCTTTTTGGCCTCTTCTAAACCTTGCCTTGCAATTTCAGAAGGTTTAACCTCAGTCCCTGCTGTATAGACAGGCACACCCACCTGTTACAAGCTACAAATGAGTATGAGGAGCAATAAACTTCCAAAAGAAAGCAGAAGAGAGACACTATGAGAGACACTACATGGAGAGACCCCAAGAAAAAATGCCATAAAGTCACTTAGTCCTCAAATCATGGATAAAGTAAAAATGGACAGAGAAAATTCACTATTTCTCACTTCAGCTGCTCAGCCAGTCTCATAACTTTATGCGTTCCTAAGATTGAAACAAAATCCACTGTAATTGAATATGCTAAGCAACCAATCAGACCATATACATCATTATGGAAATGGTTATTTGGTCAGCATTTAATCTTTACGTCAATAATAATTAAAATGAGAAAATCCACATAGAATTTGTTCAATCTCTGATTCTCATTAAATTGTTCAACCTAATTCAATTATTCTTTTAAAATGAAATGGAATTAGAGAGAGAGAGGAAAAAAAAAAAGAAAAAGAAAAAGAAAAAAGAAGGAATAACTGGCACAGGACCTTATCATACATCATTACACTAATTTATGTCAAATAAAGGAAGCTTTAGTCTGAAGTCTTCCTAAAAATGGAATACCTAAAAACTATTGGTTATCAAGGTTAGCAAAATGTAGCTAGCATGAGTACCCCATCAATTGCTAACAGCTCAATGCTAATTCTACAAATGACTGAAAGATTCCACCAGAAATCTTCAATTAAAATGCCTTTTTATAAGATATAATGCTCTAAGCTAGGAACTAGAAGACTTTATTGACAATATAAATCCTATACCTGTTCCCCCAAAATAACAAGTTGATCAATTGCAGCAGGTCTCTGTACATCACCAGCAACAAGAATGCAACTCTTGCACTGAGGTTGGTGTTAAACATTGGTGTTAATTAAGGTTAAGGAAAGCCAGAGAACCGCTTGGATAAATTGACCAATAAGCTTTTGAAAGTGAACCTGTTTCTTAAGGTAATTGGCTAACTTAGCACAAACAGTTGTCTTTCCAACTCCTTGCAAACCAGCCAATAGTATTACAGTTGGTCCAGATTTTGCAAAAACCAGTTCAGACACCTCTCCACCCATTAATTTCACAAGTTCATCATGTACAATCTGTGAAACAATAATTTTAACGGCTCAATCATCATCAGAGACTGCCAAGATAGTAAACATGAAACAAGACAGGCTGACAAGATTATAGAAACAGTGAAATTAGCAGTTGATACCAAGTCAAAAACAAGTGCTATTTTAATCTCCACCAAGATTACAATAGCAGATCCAAGAAACCTTCCTAATATCATTTTGTGGAAATTCAAACCTTAACCATTTGTTGATCTGGCCTAACTCCTCGAATAAGGCCAACACCAACAGCCCGGTCGCTCACGGCCTGCACAAACCTTCTGACAACAGGAAGGCTCACCTGTCAGCAATCCAAACATTTTGTCAGATGCTTTCATCAAAATTAAACTATCAGAACAGAATCTCACTTACATCAGCTTCCAGAAGAGCCCTCCTAATGTCTCGCATAGGCTCCACAATATTCTCCTTTGTCAAGGCCTCTGAAACCCGAGGAATTCACTCATAATGACAAACCAAATACTAGAAACTCATACCATACAATGTACTTGTAAGGAAACAATAACAATAAAAAAATCCCCACAATATCACAAGTCACAAAGCTGTTCACTTTAAGACACATCAAGTCATCAACTTGTATTCAAGATTGATCAAAGTGTAAAGAAACAACATAAAGCGCAAAAATTTCAGTAAGAATGTTTGAAGAGTGAAAGAGAAATGGAACAAACCTTCTCCTTTAAGCTTGCTCCAAGCAGCCTCGAGACCACTAGTCAACTGCCCAAACATTTCTGCTTTGATTAAATTATGAGTCTCTCTCCTGGGTGCAACACTCTTGGAATTCACCCAGCCCCATAATTCTCTCTACCAACAAATGAAAACAATACATTTTGAAAATGACAAAGATAAAATAAAAAATAATAATAATTAAAAAAATGATTGTATAAGCTGAAATAGAATGGAGGCTGATTTCGCAGCAACTTCACACATTTTCTCGAGAGCCAAACAAAGCACTTACAGTGAACAAATTCCGGGAAGAAAGTGGAACAGAACAGCCCGAACCAGTCCATGAAGACCCAACTTGAATTGACGCCACGGCACAGTTTCTCGGAGTGAAGAACCTTCTGTTTTCGGAAGAAGGATGAGCATTCGTCCGGAAATGGCGGGAGGGAACAGTCAAAAATCGCATTGCCTCCATTGCCGAAAACAGTACTGTTTCAGCTCTCTCCTCTCTCTTAAATTATCCGTTTCTCTATCTTTTTGAAGGATTTTGGTGCCACGCAAGCTACGGTTTTTATATATTGGAAAAATTGCTTAGTTGGACCCTAAACTTTTTTTTTGTTTTCTTAATTAGTCCAGTATTTTTGCCTATTAAACTGAACAGGATAACAAAACAGCAGCAATTGCATATATTATTAGAGCCCTTATCATCCAATAATAAATATTTTGATATTTGAATTGTAAAACACTTTTTCAACTCCCCACATATCATCCAATGTATTGATGCAATATATCAGTTGCAAGTCTTCCTAGTTTTACAGTCAATTTGTTCAGGTATGTTGGTTAATGAATTTCTATTGATGTTTTGCCCACGAAGAACAGAAATGTTAAAAAGATTTTAAGGAAAATGTTGCCGTGAAACAAAGATTAAAGAATTTCCACTGTGAAACACATACAACAACACATAAGAAATCATATAGAGAACACTCCTCCCCCAACCCCTGCTAAAGGAAACAGAGTATGCCATTTTCTACAGGACAGCATTCGTTGCCCTTTAGTTCACCTCCAAGCTTCAAAAAGCTCTGCTCGAGAATTTAGTCGGCCTACAAGCCCCATTCTCTTGTAGTTGCGGCTATTCTCTACAGCTCCAGCTACACAGATTATTTGTCGTTCATTCACCTTTGTAGATGCCTTCTTGAGCTTTGCATTTGATTGAACCTTTCTGCTCTTGCCTTTTGTACTTGTAAGGCCACCCTCACGGAGTTCATTTGTTAAAGAGGCTACTTGGGAAACAACATGACAAGGGCAGTTATCAACTAGGCACTCATTTCCGGAAGGGATTATGTTCTCGATAGACATTAGCAGACTCTGACATTTGCCTTCATTTGTAGATTCCTCTTTAGTAGAATGAACAGGGCTCTCTGTAGCAGGTTCTTCAGCAACAAAGGCTGCTTCTTCATTTCCACTGTTAAGCCTCTCCTCTTTATTCTCAGGGTATGCTTGTGAACAGCTTTGGTGCCCGTTTTTATCAGAAGGCTCTAGGCGGGAAGCAGGACCTGATTCTACCATAGAATCTTCTCTTTCTCTGAGTGTCTTAATGATAAGCATCTTTAGAAAATTCATCACCTGGACTACATACATCAATGCAGTCAAAGGATCTGACATCTGGATAACAGAAGTAACAAAAGGTGTCAGTGAAACCTTAAAGGGTAGGACCATAAGTAAAGTAATCAGAGAATTACTCACTTTATGCACCTCAAAGAGAAATTTAACTAGATTCATCAAATATTTAATACTGTGAGGGAGTTTTGTGGGAAATTGTACAGATTCAGGCAACAAAATTTCAAGTAACTAAACCCTTACAACCTATAAGGAAGATGATTGTCATGGATGCAAACAATGTCGTTTAGCGTCTCATGAATTCTTCAATCAAACATATCACATTGACTTAAAGGTGAAGTTTGGCATTCCATTTTTTTTTTTCTCTCTATAACATAGAAATGGTTTTCACTTACTTGAGTCATGTTTGGTGCAAACACCATTGCCACATTACGTGCATTCATTTTGTTCAAATGCTCCATTTGTGCAACATCAGCCATCAAATTTATAGCCCAATCCAGCAGAGCAGCTTCTGTTGGCGGAAGGAGCCTAACAAGCTGAGCACACTCCTCTTCTGACTGAGATTGCATCACCTGATCTGGTGAGAGAGAGTCCAAAACACCTCTTGGAAGTTCTCTAAACCAGGCCTGCAGAACAATGAAATGAACTATATTTGTTCAACTTGAGAAGTTCTTAACAATGATTTTACAGGTAAATTGAAACAGAAAAATTGTTCTTAAGCCATGAACTATCTTTAGTTTTAAAAAAATGTGGAAAAAAAAAAAGTCCTTTCAAAATACAGATGCCTTGTGCACCTGGTATGTACCCGAGACACATGTTTAAATAGCCAAAAATAAGGCCAATATCAAAAGACAAAGCAATACCTTGATAAGACCTGCCAAGCAATGCACATCTATCCCATGTGGAACCACTCCCCGGTTTAGCTGCTCCCTTACATACTCTTCCTGGCTGTTATCAGCATTAATTCTGAAAATTCCTTCTGCCTACAGTATTTAATAAATTCATTTAATGCTTAAAATTAGATATTTTGAGCAACTTTAACACCACCAGACAGTGAAGAAAGGATGGTTTAGCCTCAGACCTGCAAGCCTCCTTGGGCATACAAGTGTCTTTGCATCAGCAGGAGTATTGTTGGTACACTATTCCCTCTAGAGTCAAATGAAAGCTGCATAGATTCTGTTGAAACTCCAAATACAGTTGTACTGCACAAGAAAAATATCTTACTAAAATTAGCTGCGTAGCACTGATGATGAGTGTTGGAGAACCAAAAATGGATAAATCATTGGATAAATATTGAGATTGGTGATGACATACAAAGCTATGCCGAGCTGTTTATAAATAGTGAATTTATTTACTACGTAAACAACAAAATTATGCAAATGGACTGATAAAACAAGAAAATGCATAATTTAAGTAAACATCAGTCACATATCAGAAAAAGACAGGTTCCTGTGTCTAATTCCTAACTGTTGAACAGAAAATGCTTAGCTGACTGTAGACAGTGATTATGCAACAAGGCTGACAAGGCAAAGGAAGACTAGGACTTTTGTAGAACAATTTTACATCAATCTAACGATGCAAACCAGCTAAATCAAGCAGAATTTAGATAAGAGAAATCAAAAGTCACCTCTAAGACCATGAGCCTTCATAAAACTTGAAGACTTACAGATACTAAAGGAAAACAGCCAACCCCCCCCCCCCCCC